TCTATCTATCTATCTATCTATCTATCTATCTATCTCATCAATCCGTCCCACCTGGTCAGGCAGAAAAGGCATGTTGCAGACCACATCAGCGAGAGAATTTCAGCTGGCGGGGCCCAGGAGGAGAGCCTTCTCTGCTGTTGCCCCTGCCCTTTGGAATATTTTAAAATATTAAATACTTTTTAAATCATCTACATTCAATGCACCACAGTGAAATTATGCATTATTTCTCTAACCAGCATCCAAACTCTTATGAGCAGGAATATGTATTCCATCTGAAAAAGGTAGGCTACTTTACTACAGACTATTTTTGAAACGATTGATCTGCTTTTTCTGTATGTTTACAAGACATAAAGGGTGGATTTGCTCTTTTCAAAATGGCTGCAGCTGCAACTTCTACTGTTTTTGGAGAAAACTACCTCTTCTGAACATCTTCCAAACTGATTTTGACCTACCAAGGCTGCCTTTCCAGTTCCACATGAAGACATACAACTTGCATTTCAGAAACCTCTTGATCTAGTTCTGCAACATCAGTTGAGCAGTCAGGTGCTTCTCCTATTTACCAGCAAACTCAACTTGCTTACATAAGATCCTCACAAATGTTTCTAAACATAGTGGTCTATTTGGAAAGCTGTCAAAGGGCTGCCCATTGTGAATGGAAAGTCTCCTTTTGAAGGGCTGCCCAAACCAAATCTGATTGAAAGATAAATCACTGTAAGATAGTGATTAAGGACTGAGGTTCAAATCCCCCCCTTGACTAAGAGTTCATTGGATAAATTTGTGCCAGTTATTCTTTCAACTCAAGGTACTTCAAAAGGTGTGTGTGGTGTGGATGAAAGATGGGGACTCTACCCAGGCCGACCACTTTGAGCTCCTACAGGAAAAGCAGTATACAAATAAGTCACAAGATTTGGCAGACTACAAATGGAATGAATGAATGAAAGAATGAAGAGATACAGTAATAATACAAATACCATAAGAAGGAAAAGCAGGCAACTAGTACTAAGTGGAGATGTCATGATACCACATATTCTGTTCCTCTACAAATGCCATCTACTTTATATTCTCTTATTTGTCCCCTTTACTAGTCTCCTTCCCTGTAGCAGTGCAGCCCCTGTGGAACATCCCACAGTCCTGGAACTATGAAAGGGGCCCTTGATGAGCTCTAGAAGCTGGAGCCTACCTGCTTTTAATCATATGATTCTGTTCCCTGCACTTTTCCAAATACAGCTAAGGGAGACATTGGAAAAAATAAGACTAAACCCCCTGCCACCTGCAGCACCCATTTCCAGAGAAACTCACCTTTATGGAATAAATCACGGCCACAATTCCAAAGGGTAGGAAACAGCAGAACATAGTGAAGATGGAGTAGCGCAGGTAGTCAGGCTCACTGGTGGCCTGGACAGGTGAAATAAAGACATCCTGCTGAGACTCCACAAATATATCTTGATGAGACTGTTGAGAAGGTGGACCCTGATACAACTGATATTGTGGTGGCATAGCAGGAGCTGCCCCATAGCCCAGACAGGGTGCCGGCCCAACAGGCATTGTCAGTGGATCAGACTCTTCATGAGGTTTTTGTTCAGGATAAGGAGATGGATTGGGGGGGGCAGACACATTGGTCTCATAACTTGGGTTGCTCATCATGCAGAACTGCTCTCTCTTTTCTTGTGTCTCTGCCAGTGGACTTCTGTCTTGGCTTCTGATTTTCTTCCTCTTCAATTGCCCTGGTGAGTTGCTGGTTGCTTAGGTCTTCTCCTGGGTGGTACCTAAAGTCTGTTTTCCAACTCTTGCTTCTGTTCTCCTCTTATACCCGGCAAGCCTCTCTAAATTTCTCTTGGGCTTGATGTGTGCCATATAATACTTCTCTGTTTATCTTATTAAGAGACTGCTATGGATTGCTCTGGCTCTCTGACAGGATGACTTCACTGCGTCTTGCAGATCAGGAGAAAGAGTGGGTGGAATAACAAATTAGGCACTGAACAGCCAGGACAAACAGACTGATGGGTACTGGACATGAGTCCTATGAAAAGGAGTGCCACGCTGGAGTACAGAACTTCTGTTAGGCCAAAGGCTGCCACCAGGTTTATTTGGGCATGTTCGGAATTGCACTACAAAATTGGTGGGGCCACTTTTGGGTGGGGGGATGCTGGAAGGGGAGGGAGGCAGCTTACAGAAGAGGGCCATGCTTCAGCTGAGCAGACCAATAGGTGGCAGGGGCTGGTGGAGGAAGTCTGGGTTCAGGGGCTTTAAGGAATAATATTGCATTTTACCCTCCCATCCAGAATTCCCAAAAATGCAAAAAAGAAAGAGCCAACGTTTTTGCTCTGAGGGCTATAGAACGGATGTTGGTAGGCCACATATGGCCCCTGGCCACTGTTTTTGAGGCCCTGTTATAGGTGGACAGACTTTCAGACATGCACACAGAAATGCAAAGACATTGTGTCCTGCACCACTTCATAACTGAAGAATAACAGTTCTGGAGATGTTTTGGGGACCCATCTGCTCAGCAGATGAACAATCAATCTCTCCTTGAAATCTCCATCAAGAGAAAGACTCTTCACCCCTCAAGGTAGTTCTCCTGCTAAATTGTTTTCATATTCAAGAATCAGTTGAAATCTGCAAACATCATCATCATCATCATCATCATCATCATCTATCTGACTTGTATTGTCCATCTCATCTAAGCAACTCTGGGTAGCTCTACTGTAGACTATAATCTACAGAAAATCTACAATCTGGGAATACATTCCCATTAGATCTTACACTCCTGTCTGGGGGAGAAGATGATCAGTTTTTTCTACCTCCCAAGTGACAGAATCCAGTAACCAACAGCTCCATTTTCTATGTTCTTAATCATCTTTGTGGTCTTCCAATAGATTCATTCATTTTGCCTATAACATTCTTTGAGAGGGGCAGAAGAGATCTGATGAGTACTGTATAAAGGAGAAATATTTCTTTTTGTGACTTGGAGATTCTGTTTCTATTACCACTATCAGTAATTACTTTGCACCATTTGGTTTTGAAGTAGCCTCACACTGCTGACTTAGTCAACTCACTTGAATTATGCTTTGACTGGAATATTGTGCCAGTGAATTTTCTGCTTCTGCCCCGTTTTCTGTTCTCTTGAGCATATATAATAAAGAATAGTTACCCTGGAAAGTTTACAAAGTTTAGAAAGAATATAAACTTTATAAAGTTTAGAAAGAATATAAACTTTCCAGGGTAACTCTGTCCTTACCTTTTGTCATTTACAGGTCTGATTTCTTCCATTCCTTCTTCTTGATAAGGCACTGCACTCTAAGCTACTTTAATGAGAAGCCACTGACAAGCATTTTTGTGGTACAGTATTCTAACCAGATGTGAGCCCATCTGTGTTATTCTGTAGCCTGCATTTAATCAATTGTCTACCCAAATATTATTGGGGTATTTGTCAAAGACATAAATGTAACTGCAAATTATATCCTTACCATTCCAACTATCTATGGCAGTGTTTCTCAACCTTGGGAACTTTAAGACGTGTGAACTTCAACTCCCAGAATTCCCCAGCCAGCATAGCTGTTGACTTGTCAACATCTGAAAAGGCAGGGCTCACTTGTGTGGCACACTTTTACACTATTACCACTATCAGTAATTACATTGCACCATAGCTGGCTGGAGAATTCTGGGAGTTGAAGTCCACACATCTTAAAGTTCCCAAGGTTGAGAAACACTGATCTATGGTATGGAGCAAGCCCAGATAATGGTTGACTGCTGAATGGAGAAAGAAAAGGAAGGGATGAGGTCCATACAAGCAAAGTATATTTGAGCAATTCTGTGTGACGAAAAGAGTATTGTGCAGATATGGAATCTCTAAACCCCCTGAATCTGGCATTTAATACAGCCTGAGAGTAAAAAAACTTACCTATGTTCTGAACCTTTCCTGATGTTGCTCTTTGAAGCAATGTTTACTACTATTTATATATTTATTTTTTGCAGAAATGGAGCACTTCCAGATGGTCATGGAAGCATCTGTTGACTTGTCAACATCTGAAGAGGCAGGGCTCAACTTGTGTGGCACACTTTTCCCCCCTTAGTTTCTCCAAGGTTTTAAGAGTGAGAATGGGAGGAGAGCAGAGAACATCTCTCCCTCCTCACATTTACAGTCCAAGAAACTTTGGAAGGTCCCTTCTGAGACATTTGCCACTCTCCCATTCCTTCTGCAGGTTCATCTGCCTCTTATCTGACTATTGCCTAGTCTGTGACTCTTTCTCCTGTCTCCCAAGGTCATTCCCACCTATCATTACATATACCAACCCTTAAAGTTCCCCAAACTGGTTCAAAGCCACAGTTCTGGAGGCCATTGGGGGGATGTTTGGGAAGAATGGGTGAGGGACAGAATTGGCAGAAGGCCTTCCATTCTTGTTCCTATCTTAATTTTGGGGGGGGGGGGAAGGG